GAGACCTCATCTCTACTAAAGACAAAAAATAGCAGGGCATGGTGGTGCACACCTGTGGTCCTAGCTACTTGGGAGACTGAGGTGGAAGGATCGCTTGAGCCTGGGGGAGGGGTGGAAGTTGCGGTGAGCTGAGATTGCACCACTGCACTTCAGCTTGGGTGATAGATAGAGCTAGAAGGCCCTGTTTCAAATAAGAAGGGGGTGTGATGTGATTGCACCTTAGATGCCCCATGGGTAAGCAGTTACACAGGTCCAGATCTGAGTACGAGTCAGATTGATGAGTGATCACCCAGATAGGGCCATGCAGATGCACGCAATGCCCTGGATGGATAACCCAGGTGCTCAGAGTGTCTCCTGTGTACACTCCTGGCCCCACAATCCTGTGTGTACACATGTGCATGCACACACACGCACACACACACACAGAGCCTGGGTGCCCACAGGCCCGTATGCACACACAAGCTGTCTTGGTACCTTGGTGCTGGGGCCCTGGGGCCCTGGAGAGGCCGGGGGACTGCCAGCAGGAGCATCTCTGCTTCTGGGACTTGAGGGGGGAGACCCTGGGGACACACTGGGGGAGATGCAGAGGCCAAGGTGGGGTGGCTGTGCTGACTCCTGATCCCACGGTCCCTGGTCCCGTCACCAAGCAGAATGCTCACCTGGAGGTAGGGGATGAGGGGTTCCCAGGACTCCAACTAGGGAATGAGCTTTTCTCTCGGGAAAGCTTCCTAAGGAGGGGGACAGGGGATGAAGCTAAGGCAGGAGCAGCCCCTGCTGATATCTGCCCACATCACTCCCCACACACACACACTGAAACTCACGCACTGAGACGCTTGGTGAGGCTGATCCGCCGTTGGATTCGTGGGGAGCTGGGGCAAGAGGCAGCTGGTGGCTCAATGACCCAGGAGAGCCGGTAGCTGAGGGGGTCAACATGTGGATGAGGTGGTGGGGGCAGGAAATACAGGGGATGGAGAGATAAGAGTTAGAATCAGTTGGGAGGTGGGTTTGGGGTGTAAGAGGGAGCAGCCAGAGGTGGCATCCCACATGTCAGGGTCAGGGTGGTAAATGAGGGTCATTAAGCATCAAGGTCTTATCAGAGATGGGACAGGATGGCTGGTCAAGAGGTCACAAAGAGATTCACAGGGTGGCACTAAGGAATCAAATTGGGTCAGGATTAAAGTCAGGGTCAGGACCGGGCGTGGTGGCTCACGCCTGTAATCCTAGCACTTTGGGAGGCCGAGGCGAGAGGATTGCTTTGGGTCAGGAGTTCGAAACCAGCCTGGCCAATATAGTGAAATCCCATCCGTACTCAAAATGCAAAAAATTAGCCGGGTGTGGTCGCTTGCGCCTATAATTGCGGCTACTCGGGAGGATGAGGCAGGAGAATTGCTTGAACCTGGGAGGCGGAGGCTGCAGTGAGCCGAGATCGTGCCACTGCACTCCAGCCTGGGCAACAGAGTGAGAGTCTGTTTCAAAAATAAATAAATAAAATAAAAAAATAAAGTCAGGGTCA